CAGAATTTGGAAAGACAGCTGGGAGATCTTGCTGTTGGAGTATCTAAGATATGTATTTAACCAGGGGCTGTGTCAGCCCAGCAGGCTCTACCTGTAGCTAACATATTATATATGAGTGGACTGAAACCTAAAATATTTTTATACTTTACTCTGCTTTTAAGATGAATGTTATTTTTTGGGGCAGTGCAGTGAAAAATTAAACAGTGTAATGTCAATGTTTTTAAAAGACATTGATCACTATCTTGTACCATTATACAAATGAACAATCGCAACCTCTTTACTGCACCATTTCAACCACTGGTCATGGCAGACAGTGGGGAAGCTAGACATTCTGTCACTCGGGGCAAAGGTTCAGAGTTGTTCCCCACCTCCTCCAAATGAGAAGTTCTCCATCCACACGAGTGGCACCCCTCCTAAAGCGGCAACCAGGGCACATGCCTCCCCCCAAGCCCCCGCTAGCTTTGGCCCTGATGGTGTATACTTGTACAAGGTGCAAATAAAGGAAAACCTGTACAGGGATTAGGGTAAAAATCATGGATTAACTATTATTTAGAGAGCTGATTATTGCACTCCTCTTGTTTACAGTATAACATTTGCTAAAATGTGGAGTTATATTTACATTGTTTCTCCTAAAGTAAATCTGTCTGCGTTCCATTTAGTTAGTAAATTCCTAAAGTGTATCATACTCTTAGAAGATATAGTCTGTCTGCTCATTTTTAATTAGTGGTGAGATAATGTTACAGTGACACTGGTTCCCAGTCAGTTGAAAATTTGTTCAGCTTAACTAATGGTTTCCCAAATGAAAAGGAATCCATAGACAAAGTTTTGCAATATATGTGATTGTAATGTGTTTAAAGTTCCTCCACTCAATAATGACCAGGTTTCAGAAAAACTACCCAGACACCACTTTGACTTAACTAAATCCCAAAATACTTTATCTTCCTCACTGCAGAGTGGGGAAATCCTTCTTCAGTTGCCTACGGCAGGCACACACTGCACTGCTGGAGTCCACTTCTGGAAGAGGGAAAGGAGGGGGGCAAAATATTTACTCCGAGACGGGCTTTAATGGGGATCTATAGTATTATTATGTCAGGAAAACATATTTTAAAATAATGTATTTAAGTAAGATAAATAATACAAATTTCAGGTTAATGTTTTGTATTTAATATATTTAAATAACAGACAATAGGTTTCTTTTCACATATTTCCCTCTGTCTTCTGACTTATTTTAAAAAGCCTTTTGTTTATAGAGCTCAATAGTTAAAGCTGGAATTTGAAGGGAAGATACAAAACATCAGCTTATTAACTTATAAACATCTAACATCATCTTAGAAATGTAATAATGAAGTTAGTTGGTGTCTCTAGGAGGCAGCTCTTCTCCAGTTTTTTTTTGTTCCAGCCATGCCTAATTGAAGTTATTCCGTTAATTAAAGTGTTGTTCAATGCCGCCACCCGTAACAGCAAATCAGAATTAATCTTTCAGCCATCTGAGTTCAGTAAATAGATTGATATTGGTTATTACTCTTAGCATTGCCTTATTGAATAAGAAATCATTTGTACTCTGTGGTAGGTAGTGTGTCTTCTTCCTTGGTGTATTCAGGGTGATCTCTTGTCACCTGGTTATCATTTCCATGTATGAAATAGATAAATGTGAAACTGCCCACAGAGGAAATACATGAGCTACGACGCATGTTTTAAAAATGTTGCAATAAAAAACAGATGTTTGGTGTCTGGAAACAAAGAATGTATATTGTTATACAACTACTGTTCTCTTCCCGTATGGATGAGTTTAAGAGCATCACTTTAAGTTGAAGTTCCTGGGACTTTATTATATGTCCAAAGCTGGAGAACAGTACATTCTTTTACACACACATCCATTCCCATATTATCAGAATAAGCTCTGGGTAATCTGCTCATTATGGACCACAGGCATCACTTCCGGAATCTAAGCTTAGTGTTATAGCACTCTACTTATGTCTGTAATACATTTTCTGACCTAATATAAATACTTGGCTTTTAGTCTAAATCAGGATGACAATGAGAGACTGGGGTTGATTTACTAAAGGCAAATAGGCTGTTCCCTTTGCAGGGGGATTTTCCCTCAGCTTAATGAATGAGGTGAAGCTCTGCTGACATCCGTCATCCAATCATGTGCAAGCAAAAAGAGTGTTTTTGTTGCCTTTCTGGTGATTAGGCACAGTGAGTTTTTACCACATTCACTAAGCTAACTGAAAATGTCCTTGCACATCGATAAGACCATTTGCCTTTATTAAACCAACCTACGTAATGTTTATTTTCTAGCTTCACTTACCTATCTATTTAAACAGATGCTTTAGCTTCTTTTATATTATACCCCTGAAATCTTACCAGGAACGGAAGGGAAGCTAGATTTCCTGTTGTGCCTGAAATCTGGTACATTTTGAGATGTTTGCATACTTTTAAATGGTGCTGTGAGCAGAAAAACATTGAGAAACTTTGTACTACACACAGCCTGTCCTATTCTGTCTCATTTCATCTGCTTTTTGTTCCATTGTTATCACTAACACATTTTAAATATATGTCATGTGCTTTGCGTCACTTCTGCCACAATGACGTTCTAACAGACAAACCAACTTTACTAAATATCTGCTAATCCAATGCTTTATTCTCAAATATGACCCTATGCTACTATTGCATATGCTACTATTTATAAAACTAATGGTGGTGATGATGATGATGATGATGATAATAATACTAATAGTAACTGTAATCTAAACAGAATGAAATTTTTTATTTGAAACAGCTGTCAAGTAAATATTAATCTCTCTTGAGAATAACTCCACCTCCCCGGGATGTGTGCTTCTCAAAGATGGTGGACTTCCCATAGCTGTAAAAAAGAGATACATGCAGAACGAATGACTTGTTTAAATGTTTCATTTATTATCATTAGCACTCTTGTAGGATGCTAAAACACCAAAGGGAGAATCTGTCACGGGAAAAAAAAAACATTTCTGGGTATTAGTCAGTGACACAATATGTTTTAAACAGGATATGTATCACCCTGAGGCACAGTGTAATAGGAAAAAGCATCATATTGATTGATTCAGGATTCTACATTAGGAAGTGGGTAAGCATTAGAAAGCTAAGAAAAGCTACTTTATCTCCTCATAAACATAAAAGGGTAACAGTTAATGGTCCTTGGGTTCCATAAAATGGTTTAGAGATACCATAAGTTTGAATATGACAATAAGACAGATATATTGCGTCTTGAAACATGATACTGTCTAGCAAACAGAGTCTTAAGTGGCTTCCAATTTGTTTTCAATTTTCAGGAGCCGAGAATTTTAAAGTGACACTAAACTCAAGAGTGACACTAACCTCTCCAAGCTCACCCCCATGATGGACTGCAAACCTGCTTTTAGTTAGCTAATTTGTATTGAAGTTATAGTCTATAGCGGAAGTACAACACACACAGTGACAATAGGGAACAAAAGTAGCCAATCTCCAGAAGGAAGGACAGTGTCAGCACCAATTCAGAGATGATTTGAGGATCTACAGCCGAGTGATACACAAATAAGCTACATGTTTGTTAATAGTTAGGGTACTTGAATGTATTTTTAAGATTTCAGTGAGTTTAGTGTCACTTTAAGCAAGCAAAATGCTGTCTATCATAGGCACTAGATGTATGTTTTTTGATAACTAATATTTTGGCAAGTGTAAATACAAATGATTACCGGGGTACCAACAACTAAAGAAGATAAACTCAGCCTTCTATTTCCAGGGTAAAAGTCTACCTATTGGGTTTCAAGTTTTAGTCATGCTGTAGAGCCAGGCCATGGTTCTTCCGCACCTGTAAAGGTAAACCTCATGTCCAGTGGAAACCTTTTAGAACATATTTATTCATAGAGTAGGGAAGGATTAGATACACAGTCAAATTGTTATTGTGCTTATTGATGCGATTTCTCCTTGTTTTTTGTTGCTCCAGCAGTTACAGAAAAGCACTTTTAATAGAGTGAGGAAGGGTGACAATTGCTGACAAGGTTTTTATTGCAATTCATGCTTTCCTGTCCTGGTCACAACCACATCCACCATTGCTTGAGGGAAAAAAGAACAGTGGTGACGGAAATAAAAATATGACAGAAATGCTTAACTTGTCCCCACTCTATCTTAAATTAATTTTTTTCAATAAAAATAAAAAAAAAGCCCATCTCTGGGAATATGCAATCACCCCACCCATTACTCATTCACAGCACCCTCGCACCAATTTATAAGGTGTTTGTACAAGAATTACCTTCAAAAGCTGCTTTTTAATCACTTAAGTTCGCCTTCCATATCCCTTCTGGGTGTGCCAAACTTTGAGCCAGTGATGCAATCTGTGTCTGTGCTGACTGGTCACCTCTTTATGTTGTTAACACGCTGCTGCAGTCTATTTAGAGGGGACACCACCACTGGTCAGCCAATATGAAGTATACACATCACCCAGGCAGTGAAATGAACACCAAAAAGAGCACCCTCCTCCTATGCAGGGAAGAAGATAGAAAACTTGGGCACATCATGTCACACTATCATTTGGATTTAGGCAAGTACAATTAAAGATCAGGTGGGAGGTTGGGGAGCAAAAAAGGGGGTAGTGTTAATTCCTCTAGTAGATGTCCTGGCCGGGCCCCGCCGTGCCTCGGGCCCCATAGCGGCCGCCTGGGTCGCTATGGTGATTGTTACGCCACTGAGTGTAGTCTTAAGGGTGCAATGTCACCTTGCTCCAGTCACAGCAAGGTGACAGTGTCTGTGTAATGCCCACCCCATCCACTTTTTATTTACCTCTTCAGAGCTTTCCCACTGCTCCTTCATCTGTGGTCACCACTGCAAAATACCTGGTGCTTCCATGTATGTGACTAGGAATGTGACCTTCTCGCATGATGCAGTGCTCAAGCCTAGCGGCCAATCAGCACTGTCACATGAAAGAGGGGATGGTGCCACCGATCCCTTTTAGTTCTTACACCAGCTGGGTATTTTGGTGGCAGCTGTGGCTGTGGAAGGAGTGGTTGCCGGAGCACTGGAGAGGTGAGTATAAAGTTCTCGGGAGGTGGGCTTTTCACAGACACTGTCACTTTGCTCTGAATGAGAGCAAAACAATAGTTACAAAGCTCCAGGACACATTTTTTATAATGTGGCTAAATTATATGCAGGTACCGTACAGCCAATAGCTGTTGTTAATAAAATATCGAGTTGCATCCATTAACCAACATGAACATGCCCCAGGATTATCTGATCACGAATGAGCTGCAGAATACTTTGTTAAATCTGAACTTGATCACCAAACAGTTTCTGACGTGGATAGTTTCTGCTGGCAGTAGCATAAATAAACATCTCTACTGAGCAGAGGATTTAATTTGTTATGAACATTGGTTTTATCCAACATTCTTCCTCAGTTTATAAAAACGTCTCCAGCTACAAAGGTTCCTTGAAGGCCCACTTAAACAGAAATGAAGCAGAACGTCAACTTTTCATGCTCTGGCTTGTGGTCAGTGTGCTATGTATTCTAATGAGTTCTGCAGATGTCAGACAATAGTGGTCAGCACAGCCTATTAGCAAAAATAAACGCTTTGTCTGGCATTGCTATCAGGTTTCAGTTAGATAGTTCTGTGTAGAAGTGACAGATCCTGTTCAATATGTGTGTATTTTCTCAGGCACCTGCAATGTTTGCAATCCACTTAAGGCATGTCAGAGCAACAAAAGGTTACAGAGCATAATGGGGCTAATATACAAAAGCTGGAGCAAACAAAACCAAAGCAGAAGTGGAACTGTTACCCATAGCAACCAGTTAGGCTTCATCTTTTAAAGAAAGCGAGAAATTTTAATGGCATCATTGGACCACTGTTTCATGTTTGCACCAGGTTTCTTTGCTTAACTGTTTGTATATCAGCCATAATGAGAATTTCTAAATATCTGAGGATCAAACTGCTTGCAACATGTTTACATAAGGTAAAGGCTATTTAGAATTTCTACCAGCTAGTTTAAGATTTGCTCTCTCTTCCTGTGACACCATGTTGCATAATAATATATATACAGGATGCCACCTAAGCTGGGCAGAGAGGGCAAATTGCACAGGCTGCAATACATACCTGCTAGATGTCGTATCTGTCTCTGTTAAAGAGTTCAACATGTACCAACAGGTCCTTATTAAAAGCTTTCATGCGCAGGTTTTTATTTAGCGCTAGGGAAGAGGGGGTCTACGGATACCATAACTTATAGTTTCCCCTTAGTGGAAGTGATAGGGTTCTACTTTTCACCGACAATTCACACAACCTTTACCCAAGATTTGACAATTTTTCACATAACATTTAATCACAAAATTGGTACATCTTGGATTAAAGTTGCTAATCTTGGGTGAAAACCTTACTAAATAGACCCCATAGTACATTTTCAAGGTAGAACATTTTGTAAGTGCACATAACTACTGCATGTAATCAACTTTTCCTTTGTAATGTAAATGAATAAGAAACAAACAACTGTAATATGGAATGATACTGCCCTATTGATTGCAGCAGGTACCAGTGATTGTGAAACTTTCAAGTGTATAGTTTTTTCAAGCAGTGGTCATTTTCATATTGATTTTTTATATGCAGCATGTTGTGTTTTGGTTTCATAACAAATCCAATCTTGAATAGAGATATTTTTTAAAACCAAATGCTGAACATATTTTCTTTTTTAGCTTTGAACATACTGTAAATTTGAATATCTGCTCTAATATGTCTTTATACCTGTCTCAATGATCACACAGAAAGTGCAGGGATGGAGTCGTTGGTAAAAATTTTCTCCATGGCACAGTGGCTTTTAGTTATGCTTTTGGAGTACGGTGGTAGTACCACTCCAGGCTGCAGCAAAGCTAATAGGCGTGAAAGTGAAATTCCACTACATTTTTTTTTTAGGTTTTGTTGTGGTGCTGTCCACAAAACAGCAGATGAAGGACTTTGTCCTAATTTTATCATGTTTTTATGAAAAATGAAAGTAAAAGATTAGGTTTCCTTGCAGACTCAGTGACAGGCGACTATTGAATAGGTTGTAACATAAAGATCGTGTCAGAATAAAGAAAAAAAAAGACACAGCGGGGTCTCTCTTCTTGGTGGCCGGGAGCGGGAGACTCCCATAGCGCCCGGGGGATCACTTCACTTCTGATCGGTCATTCACTCGGCTGCCCTCGGCAGCTTTGTGAATAGACCCCATAGTTTCTGATCACGGAAAGAGATAAATACTTAGAACTTTACCTGATGACCAAGCCCAAATAGCCTTGGAATAGACAGAAAACGTTGATGGCTAGCCAACTTGAATTGTGGACACTTGACTTGACACACGGTGACTCCGAAGTTTATGGACATCAAGGAAGCAGCACTTTTTTATTATGATTATCACCTCTGTAATTGATAATGCACCTCAAAAGTAATTTTTTATCAAACTCATCAATGGCAACATGTGTATTTAAAGTATTTTTGATAGTATTAGAACCAATTGTCCCACTGTCTAGTAGACACATCAGGTAGTGTTAGGAAATCTCTCCAAAGTGAGGGAAATATTTTCTTAGACAGTTGTCTAGGTAACAATTGTCCCAAATGAAGGATTTCCCCTCTATTCCTGTTAAAACAACAACAACAACAACTCAGAATGTTTGATTTTGGTTAAATTTTCTGTCCCAGTGACTATGGGATTATGCATAGTCAGCAAAAAAGAACCCTGATCGGGTTGATAACTCTATCCAATACTAAGAAATAAGTTTGAGCTTTAGACACGCTTTAACATAACTTTGCAGCAGAAACTGGTTTCCAACATATGTATCTTACTTACAAACAAGGACTGAAAGACTAAGGGGTCTTCACAAAGCTGCCGAAGGATCTAGCCATAGCTTCGGCCGATCCTTCGGCTAGCTTCAGCCCCAGGACCGTAGAACCGATGGGGTGCTGTACGGGCTATTCACAATAGCCCGTAAAGCTCCCGAACGTGGCTGAGCGCCTCAGTCGAGTCGGACGCATATGCCTCGGCTGAGCCGCGCTGAACGCCGAAGCTGGCCGAGCGGCCGGCCATTGGCCAGCCGACAGCCTTCTTCTGACAGCTGGGCGGAGCCAGCTGTGATCTTACGGCTGGCTCTGGCCACTTGCAGAGAGATCAGTGTTCCTGGTTACCTGCTAACCAGGGACACTGATCTCCAAACAGCAAACTCTCCCTGGCGCTCCGGGAGTCTCCTGCTCCCGGCCGCCAAGGAGAGAAGCACTGCTGTTTCTTTTTTTTTTATTCCGACACGGAGCTGTGTCAGAATAGAAAAAAAAAAATTGCCCATTGGAATGCATTGCTAGATTCCTATTGGCTATTTCAATTTGCTATAGCCAATAGTAAACTAGCATTGTACCCGCCCTCTGCTGCAGTTCTCCATCAGGTCCATCAGCAGAGGGCGGGTACAATGCTAGTTTACTATTGGCTATTGCAAATTGAAATAGCCAATATGAATCTAGTAATGCATTCCAATGGGCAAAAATGTTTGTTTTTTTCTATTCTGACACGGCACCGTGTCAGAATAAAGAAAAAAAAAGAAAAATCAGTGTTTCTCTCCTGGGCGGCCGGGAGCGGGAGGCTCCCAAAGCGCCCGGGAGATTTTTTTTTAATTTTTATTTTTTTACGGCAGCAGAACCGCCGGACAATAGAAAACTGTTGGGCGTAGCTATCTGTCACTGCTGGCTCCGCACAATCGTTTTCTATTAACTTTTTTTAACTTTTTTAACAATTTTTCTGTTCTGCTCGGTCCCTCTGAAGGACCAAGCAGAACAGCCCAGCCGAATGCCTCTCAGCGGCATTCGGCTATTCACTTACTGCTGTTCGATCGGCTGAGTCGGCTGATCGGCTGAGTCGAACTCCTTCTGCACTTCGGGTCAGCCAAACATGCTGAGCATGTTCGGCCGACCCGAAGCCATGAGAAGCAAGCCGATGTATGGCTGATTTCAGCCGATGTACTGCTGAAATCAGCCGTACCAGCCTGAAGTGAATAGCTGAACAGTGTTCGGCTCACTTCACTTGGGGTCGGTTGTTCACTCGGCTGCCCTCGGCAGTTTAGTGAATAGACCCGTAAGTTACAAGTGAGAACCACTATTTACTCTCTGGCCTGCATCCTTCCCAGCTCTTGTAAACCAGTGACATCACTGGTTGCCAGGAGATGGGCAGGATGCCGACCAGAGTGTCCCAGCCTGCAAAGGGGAGAGTCACTCTTGCATCTGGTGAGCCTGTCTCTTCTACCCACCTCCTACTACTCTGATTGCATGTACCACCACCCTTCTTCCCCGCCTCAAGGCTAGGGACACCACAGCGTGTGACATTCAGTCCGTGCAGATGGCTGCTGTGAACCATCCCTTAAGGTTCTCACTGTGAAAGTAAGCCAGTCTTTTATGGGCCACCAAATACAGTTAAGTTGGTATTGGGCAAGTACAAAGTCTGTCCATCCTCTTGGGAAGCTGGCCATTACATGTACCTGTCTTCACAAGCCAAATCATTCCTATGATGAATTGTGGCCACACTGCGATATAGATGCAGTCCAAGTGCCAGTGTGTGTATCCTGGGAACAAAATACAACTGGGATAATTTTATTAATGATCATTAGCTATCTCATTTAAACTAATTACTGTTTTTATGGCCTTATATTTAAAGGCCAGGCATAATTTGAGGGGGGAATTACCCCATACTGAGGTATTTACCCAACAATTACTTCTTAATTTGATTTTTATACCTCAGAAGTAGTAATTAAGGAAACAGATATTTCAGTTTCATGAACTGCTCAAGATAAATACTTAAAGTGTTTGTCTGGGCTAAATAAAAAAACATATTCATACATTCATGCATTACATTTACATTATCCAAAGTTTTGCCTCTTTAAAAACATTGCAAGTACAGAAAAATACCTCTTGATCCTGCCAGAAATATATTGAGCTGCTAACTTCCTGTAGTGAACTCCCAATGATGCCTCTGCTGCACTGAAATCACAAGCATTGTTTGTTAGATCTCCCCAGTTCGCCCCTGCTGGACTGCAGCACGCCTGTTATGGTATGGAGATGATGAGAGGTGTTCTGTAGCTCAGGCAGGGCTGTCAATAATGCTTGCTATTTCAGTGCAGTAAAGGGTTAGTTGGGAGTTCCATGGAATTTAAGCATAATTAATGTACTGTGCTTGCAGCTCCACTGGTTTGATTTTTCCATGTTTTCTTTCCTTTATTGCACCTGGTGACCCTGCCAGTAACTAAACTCTTTCAATTATATAGTTAATAGACCAGATTGCAAATAAGAGAAGTTAATTGTTAGTGTTCAAATATACTTCAAGTAGGGAATATTACTCACATTCCCTGATTTAAAAAGGGAAACTAGAGAAAGCATTAACAGATCTATATGTGTAATAAAATAATCCCAATGTGCAACAGAAAATAAGTAAAATTCTAAAAGGATTAAAAAAAGCCCTTCCAAGCATTATAATAGTAATTAAAATGTGTATTTGTTGAAAGTAACCAACAGTTTCACCTAAGCTGAAACAATAAAAAGGAGACTGTGTAATAAAGTCCTACAAACATTGGAAGAGCATTTCACATTTATTTGGAAAAAACATTGACTCATTCAAGGCCTAATAAGCTTTCACTTTTCCATTTTATTTGCAGTTTCCATAAAGAATACAAAGCGAGAAGAAGAGAAACCTTTTAAAGACTGTGCAGATCTGTATCACGCAGGATTCAATAAGAGTGGGGTGTACACAATATTTATCAACAATGTTTCCGAACCTAAAAAGGTAAAGATTGTCACTTTTTAACAAGGTTTTAACACTTTTTAATCTAGGAATGTCAACTTTATTTAAATTTTTTTCACTTTTGGATAGAGCAGGAGCAGGTTAAAACCCCTGAGATCATTATTGCTGTCTTTATCTTCATCTTGCAGATTTTTTCTCACTTCTGTTCTCAAAGACTGAAAGGAAATCTCTAAAAAACTGGCAGGAAATCTCACTTTTTACAGTTGTCATTAGAAAAGGTGTCAATAGTGGAAGGTTTTCCTTCTACTCCTCTCTTCTGGTGACAGCTGTGCAATTTTAGATTTTCCCTCACTTTATATGCCCATGGCAACAGGAGATAAAAGTAACAGAGAATCTGAATAACAAGGTTGCAGATAGACATAAAAACTTTCCAGCAGTTTTAACCCTTACCCACCCTACCTAATACACTGCCTGGCCCAAAAAAAAGTCCCCAAACAATGAGGTAAGCTGTTTACTTTAATATACTGAATGACCAGGTTTTTCCATCAATGGATTTTTTTCTTCCCTGATGGCACGGGCATATTCCAAGATGACAATGCTAGGATTCCTTGGGCTCAGATTGTGAAAGAGTGGTTCAGGGAGCATGAGACATAATGTTTACACATGGATTGGCCACAACAGAGTCCAGACCTTAACCTCATTCAGAATATTTCGATGTTCTGGAGAAGAATTTACACAGTGCTCCGTCTCCCCCATTATCACTACAAGATCTTGGTGAAAATGATTGCATCTCTGGAAGGAAATAAATATTATGATATTGCATAAGCTTATCGAAGTGCTGTCTCAGTGAACGCATGCCGTAATCGAAGCTAAAGGTGGTCCAATGAAAAATTAGAGTGTATGACTTTTTTGGGGCCAGACAGTGAACACAGGCAATCAGACATACACAACACAAGCACAAAACATTATATATCTAAAGATGCACATATACACAAACATAGGCTTATCACACTACTCTCTAAGTGCCTAACAGACATTCAAGTTCTGGTGTTACCTCAGAGGAAGAGTATCCAATTTTTGAGAATAACCATGCCAGATATAATAGCAGCATAGGAACACATCAGTTCCTCCAGTAAAGATATTAAAAACCAGACTAATGTATATTGAATCTTGAGTTTATTTTGTGATAACTGACACCATAAGCTTGTGTTAGCAATGGTCGGTTAGCTGGTACTGTAGATTGGCATAGTGAAACTGCTAACTCGAAGAGAAGCAAGTGGAGCAAATGTTGCTCCACTTGCTCATTAATGTTGCTTGTTAAAAATATAAACAATTCAAACTGACGATATTATGTAAAAATGTATAAATAGAGGTTCCCTTCAGTAAAAACTGGATGTCAAAAATGATATAATTTCACCTAATGATATCTCAGGATTAGGGATGAACCTGAGCTCCTTTAAACTCAGAAGTGCCCTGGGGCCACTTGCCGAATCAGCTGCAAGCCGGGTCAGTGCCCACCCCAAAGCTGAATCATTGACCTTGAATAGCCACATGGCCATATTAGATAAATGTTATGGATTAAATATAGCCATGTGGTCATATAAGGCCAATTACATCACTACATCCTGCCCCCCTGGTAAATACCCGGCCTCAGGTAATCGGGTGGCAGTGGAAGGAGCCTCAGCCCATGTTCAGAGGAGCTCAGGTTCCGAACCTAAGCTTGTCTGTACTTAGGATTTACTGAGCATTTGAGTGTGCAGTTCTAACTGAAGCTAACCACTGCTGATACATTGTTTTATAGAATTTGTTCAGGTAAACAATCCATGTATGTAACAAGTTAATTTTTGAACAGGCTTTGATACTTTTATTTCAGCTCATTCTCCTTCTGATCTCCAAAAGGCTCAAAATAAATAACTAGTAGGCCTGGAAAACTCTTTTTCTCTGGTCTAAATACATTGCCGCTGTAGAAACCTTGTTATATTAAGGTTATTATTGTTTATTTAAAATAATCTGAGAAAGCGTCAAAGTACATTGGGATTATGGAAGAGTGTACATTCTGATCACTGGATTGTACTCTTTGCCAACAGATGCATGTAGTGTAAGCAACTTGTTAGGCAAGGCTAGACTAGATTATAAATCACACAGAATTAAACATAGAGGCTTGTACTGTATTAGGCAAAGCATATACTTCCAAAACATTAAATCACTCAGGTCCTTTCCTTAGAGTTGTGTGCCACCCTACTTACTCACTAATCCTCCTGGGCTTTTTCCAAAGTTGTAAAACCAGGAATGAGAGCAAAACACAGGAAAGCTTTGACGTGGAAAAACCAGTGTTGTTCAAGACAAAATTGACTCTGGTCTAGTAAAACGCTTCTACCTTGGCTGGGTGTTTTTATTAGTAAAACCATTTCAAGTATACAATAGCAGGTCAACTTTTATGGATTTATTTTGGTTATTAATTATCTCAACAGTAGCAAAAATCTTGGTGCAATTGATGTTTACATTCAGTACTAGCTTTTAAAAAGAGGTCAACAGGAAAGGTTTGCGCAGTTTCTGTATTAAAGAAGAACTATGGCCTCCCATTAAAAAAAATTAGTGGCTCTGCGTTGACAGTTTAATTAACCCCTCTGCAAAGTCTAGTAAATACCTGTTGATTCTGCCAGAAAAGTCAGCCCATAACGAGGTGACAATACTGCTCTAAATTCAGGAGTAGTGCAGCAGAGCTGTCACCCCCATAACACATTAATGTAGGTTGTGCCTGCATGCTCTATTAAGGGATGAGAATATATTGCAGGGGACGTGGTTATTAGCATTGTCACTACTAATTCACAAGCCTGTAGCTTTCAAATAACTTTTGTTAAAGCTGGTCCTTCCCACTGCTTTCTGAATTGACAGCACGGCCTCCCACTGTGGCTGCAGTGTCTGGGTGGGGATTTTTTTTGTACACCTTTGTTACTCTTTGTAATACTCTTAAAAATAAGAAAAAATAGCAACTGATTGTGTATTAAAGTAAAAATAAAAATGTCTCCTTATCTCTTTTGGTTCCTTAAGGTGTATTGTAATATGGAAACAGCGGGTGGAGGCTGGACAGCAATTCAGCACAGAGAAGATGGAACTGTGGATTTCCAGAGAGGCTGGAAAGAATATAAAATGGTAAACACATCAGTGAGACTCATTTGTATTACTAGAAACTAATCAGTTTGTCTCTTTTTTGTCTCTTTTCTGTTTATTTTGTGATATGGGTGGAAGTGTACATAAACAAAAATATTATTTACATCTTTAGACATAATGGGGTTGATTTACTTAAAGCAAATAAGCTGTTCATTTTACAAGGGACTTTTCCCTTAGCTTAGTGAATGAGGTGAAGCTCCGCTGACTTCTATCGTCCAATCTTGTGCAAGCAAAAATACTGTTCTTTTTTATTTTCCTTGCATATTCTTTATTCTTTATTCTTCAAGGGTATTCTTTGTGACTTCACCACATTCACTCAGCTAAGCAAAAATTCCCTTGCAAAGCGAAAATTCCCTTGCAGTGTGAACAGCCTATTTGCCTTTGGAAAATTAACCCCAATAAATCATAATAGCCATTGTTCAGTAGTGGACATACATTTGTTTTTCAAACTGGTCTAAATTTTGATCAACTATGCAAGTTTGCTTAACTGATTGGCCACGCTTGTTTCTTTTTTTTTTTTCTTTACTGATTTTTTATTGAACAATAAGGGATAATGTGGATGGGATGGTTTAATTGACTTTGGAATCACTTGGAAATAACAAATCAAAGCATCAAATCCAAAATAAAAAAGTAAATTTCTGAAATTCCTAGTTGTCTTTTTTGGCAATTGAATTTGGTTGATTATTTTGGAATTAAGTGGAATATCGAATGGCCAGTTTGATTGGAAGGATCAGACTGTAACGGGTATGCCAAACGGTTTCCAGTCTGTGCTAGAGGTCACGTCCATGCACCTCAGTAAGTAGTCCCAGGCATTCCTGTCAGTGGGTGTTTCACGTCTGCTGACAAAGTTTAGCTTAAGACTACTTAATTTAATGCTTTTGTGTGATAATATCTGGAGTTTACTTTGGAGTTAGTTCTTTCATATGCAAGTAATCACTTTAAACAACCAGCGAACATTGGATAAGCCTGTTTTACGTTCAGTGATAAATGGCACGGTATCAAAGTATTTTAAGCAATTTCCATTATATTTGGTATTCTGTCCAGATGTATGGAACTATGTTTTCATGCTTGAAGTGGCAGAATGACAAGTAGAGATAAAGCAAATACTGTTTAATGACCGCCATATATAGAAGCCTTGTGGTAGAGTTCACAGAAGATATGGTCCATTAGCTAAAATCATGTTTGCATCTAAATTTAGCACTGTGGTGTATATGTTCATTACTTTAAAATGGATTTATAAAACAAAATACTTCTTGTTCCCATGGTTGTTCTTTTATAAGGTGAGATGAGAATCTTTTCGTGACCAGTTGATCCAGTGCCAATTTGTTTCCCCACCTCCAGTGCCGTGTTCTTGATCTCCTTACCCAACATGTGCTAGGCACAAGGCCCCAACTCTACATGAAATATAGTCTTAAAGAGACCATGATGGCAAACCATTAATTTTAACAAAAAATGTCTCATACGTTTAAGAGGCTGATTTACTACAGGAGTTGAGAATATTCATGTAAAAGAAAGAGTGATGATTCACTTCAGCCCTCCAATCATGTGAAAAGAAAATTGTTGTTTATTTCATCTGTGAGCATTCTTAACCCCTTTAGCAAATCAGTCTCACTATGTGCATTTAGCATATGTAATTTACCTGTAAAAGCCTGTAATCACACACTAAACTCCCCCCTTCATTCTGGGGTGGGAGGGGGAGTGGCGGTGCATTGAAGTCAATGGCACCGCAGTCATGCCCATGCATGCAGCATGTTTTTGCGTTTGCACTGGACCAGAATGCTTTGCCACGCGTCCGATCACACTGCAGGTGGGGGGCATGGCTGCAGTGCCATTGACTCCAATGCACCACCATGCCTCCTCCCACCCCAGAACAAAGGGGGGAGTTTCGCGCTCGAATACAATGCGTTCCAGCAGCTACCGCTCTGGAACGCACCGTAATTGGTGTAAACTGGCCATTACTTGTGTAGTCTTCCAAAATTCATGAGACTTCTGCTGGGTGCCGCCATCTTGAGCATCCCCAGCAGACTCAGAGCTGTCACTCAAGCAACATTCTTTAGTATTCATCTTTCACACCTACCCCAGCAGCTGCATCAAAGGCTTTGTAGGGAGGTTAAGAGAGGGGTAGAGGAGCACAAAGTAATTAGACACTCCAACTACCACTTCCCTCATGAGAAAGCAAGTATGAATTGAGCTGCAGCCCTCTAACTGACAGCAATTCTGGCCATTAAGGAGCAAAATATAAATATTTTTCATCATTAAAGAGAAAAACCCCTTGGAGCTCTGACATCTTTTGAGATGGACTCTAGAAAGAGTTGGTCAGAAGACCATCTGCATCCATAAGTATGATAAATTATACTGTAATGGTGTATAGGACAAATTTTAGTGTTCTTAGGGTTAGGGTAAGATTTTAGTGCTAGGAGAGCATGATGGCAATCTTCAGGGCCTTTTCTGAATCAGTTGAACAGTCCTAATACTTTCAGTGTTCTATGGCTCACAGTGACAACCATTACCTTAAAGTAAACCAAGAAACGTATTAAAAAAACAATCATTGTTATATGATGCTACGTTGACACACCACTTAATTTCCATTTCCATTTTTATGGCCGGGAAAATGTGCATTCTACCCCATGCTTCTGAACATGGAGGCACCATTCTGACCTAGTATGTGTTTTCTTGGGGGGGGGGGGGGTACTCTTTACCTTTTAAAC